CCCCAAAACCCCAAAACCCCAAAACCCCAAAACCCCAGATATCTATAAGTTAGTTGAAAAGAGTGAATTTTTATCCTCATTTGTTCAGATATTTTTGAATATCCAAAAAAATGAAAATTAAGAAGAGCGTAGCTGGCTATATGGCAATTTTCAGCTAGGACTTATCTTTAATCTCTACTGGTGCTTACAACCAAATGAATGAAGCCTGGATAACTTTGATCAATTAATAAAGATACCGACTTAAAATACCTCCCGAAAGTCCTTCTAAGTCACCTAAAACTTCTATTTTATCATTAAACCCATAAAATGGTCACCCCTCTAATTTTTCATAAAATTTCACTGCTTCTTAAACTAGTTCAACTTCTAAATTTCTGTTGGTGAGAATTATTTATACACAAACAACCGATTTGTTCTATCTCCTTTGTCTTCTTGGGCTCTAAGCCTACTAGCAATCTAATATTTTTTCCGATCCCAGCAATTCTCAATTGGGAGCTCTTCCCTTCCATCTGAATTATTAGCGATATTTCGTTGAGGTTCAGAAAATTATGATAACACTATGACCCAAATTTGAATTATTAAGACAAGTTGTTGACTGAAGTATCCAACAAATGGTCAGGTGTTGTATGAGAAAAGAGTACTAGCTCTGGGCCTCACTTGGAGTTTAATATTTCAAGATTCAGGAATCATAGCTTTTAGGACCAGAGAATCGATGCTTCTTTGCACTATGTGAAAGCAAACATTAAGCAAAAAGGGTAAATATTAGTTGTTAGAGTATATGAGAACACTATTAAGAGGGAATCGGGCAATTTGAAAGGGACTAGGCTTATTATTTACTCTTGAAAAATTACTTTTAGTTTAATGTTCCATTAGATATCGTACAGCATATAAGGGATCGAGCGAATTGTTAGCTTCATTAAAATTAGTTCAAAATATTGCCCAGAACTTGAGAGTTTAAGCATGTTTATATAAATTCCGCCCGCTTTAAGAGCTGGCAGGCACATAAGATGCAATTGAATATTTCTAAAGTTAATTATAGCTCTCAACACACTCAATAGGTCCATATTTCACCGAGAGGAAAGATGGTTTTCATAGTTAAAAGTTAATAATTTAATTATTTTTAGTATTGGAAGATCCAGATGTCAAACATTTTCAATTTTTTACATCAAAAATCCAGACACATTTTATCAAGTTTCTTTTGAAGTGTGCTAATTGTAGTCTCTAAGAGACAAGTTCTCATCAATGATCGTAAATGGATATAATGGTTCTATTCGAGTGATTCATGATCCATTATTATATATTCGCGAAGTCATTTGCCAAGGCTAAATTTTTATGTAGTATTTTAGTAAAATTAAGATACCTAAACTTTGTAAAACTTTAGGGAAGGAGTAACAACAGGGAAATTAGTGGGAGGCTTCTATTTCAGCATAAATAAATCGCAAAATATAATTTTGGTTGTCATTTACACTCTTTTTACACTTCTAATATTTCCGAAGGATGATAAGAGGAAAATATTTAGAACTTTGATAGATGTTCAAATCAACAAAATAAGATGCTCTGTGATGATGATGTGTTTTCATATTGCTCGAGAATTGCACAAGCATTGTATCGTATTTTAATGATGACTTTAACTTGATGTGTTACTAGTAATTTGAGTACGATATTAAAATTTTAAGCAAACTCCATAAAAAGCCGTCAATATCTAAAGTAAAATACAGATAGACAAACTCCCAACCCCAGTAAGGTTTATTAATACAAATATTATTAGAAAGTTAATTATGAAAAACTGATAGTTCATCTGGACTGTCTAGGTCATTTACGGTAACAATATTTTCCTCTCAAGGACTTATGTTAGCATCCTTTGAAGTTGCGTTACAACCAGGAACTGACCGTGAAGACTTCCTTATCTTCATAGCTTGATGCAGCAAGTCTTTGATATCTGTTTGCAACTTTGATGGGCGGGGGCAAGTCTCTGACTTAAACCCCTTAGAAACTTTCAATTTCATCTTTTTGTTTCCCTGATTAGTATCTGTAAACTTATTCTTTTGCTCAACAAAAGGCTGACTCCTCATTCGGGAACATGTTGGAAGAGCAGGGATCACTCCACTCTTGATTCTCCTATTAAAAGGGTTTGACTCCATATTCTTGGTCAGGCTGTCTCAAACATGGACACTAGAAGCCGAGGTATTCTCGTCCAATAAATCATCGGACAGATCTTCATAGAAATAGTTGATGTCGTTCATATTATTATATTACGATTCCACCTTTATCTCTTATATGGGGTTTTGGGGTTTTGGGGTTTTGGGGTTTTGGGG